CCCCCCCTTACACACACACACACACAAGTACATTGTAAATGTGCAACCACCTCCCCACCTCCAGGCTCCTCCTCATATTACATGTAGTCGCAGACACTGGGAACTAGAATTTTCTCCTCGGATTGAAAGTATTTGACTCAGTGCATCTCAAAAAGTGAAAAAAAATATCTATAAAGTAAAAACTTTGTACATTAATGTATATTATACTTGGGGAGCTGTCTTAGAGTTGTGTAACTGGGGATGGTATTCAACCTGGCCTTTAAGCCTTCCAATGATGCCTCCACTACTGATTCTGGTTCAAGATATTAATTTAGTTTGCTACTCTGTCCTGTCTAGATCTTAGCATGGCATGTGATGTCCTCAAGTTCTGCAATCACTTGCTGTGAACTATACTACTGGATCTGCTTAACAGCCTGTAGATATGCTCTGTGTCACCAAGGTAGACAAGTACTCGAATGTATGAAAACACAGTGTAACAGTAATATGTCTAACATATGTAATTGTTTACATCTATACATTGAATTGCCATATATATTAAAATCAGCTTTTAAAACATTTTGGATGTCAGAAGTATTTAATGCTCAGTGTATACGAAAAGTATAAGACATATGACCAAAATAATTTGCGAAGCTTATTTTTAGTTTCGGAAACCTGTATCGCGGAAACGACATATTCCGCTCATACTATTGTCTGTTTTACGATAAATATACAGCAATAATTAGATGTAGACAAGGTAATGGTAGCAAATATTTGTTCAATTTTAATTCTATATACCGACCGCATATACAGGAACTACACAACAAACAGTGAAATCAAGCACAACACGTTTGGAATGGTGCGCTAGCATTGTGTACGGAAATAAAATTTCGTGTATAAAACCGGACCCGGAGGCGGTCCAAAGATATATGGATCCGGAAAACGAATCGGAACTTCGAAATATTGATTTTTATTAAAGTTCCGAGCATTAATGCTATTTGATTTTTATGTATATCAAATATAAGTGTTGGGACACGATAAAGTATTATATTTTTGACGGTATGGATAATAATATGACATAATTTTGCCCTTTACGCATTAAAATAGGAATAGGCAAAATGGGGTGGGGGAATGGCGTTCTAACTTCAAGTGAGCGAAATTGCAAAATTTTCACCGGGAACCCCACATTTTTTTATGCTTACCGAAAATCATATATACTTGGCTGTCTTCAGTAAAAGTTTTATAAAATTGACATGGGTTTCGATTGCATTTTTGCTTGTTTTTAATGCATTCGTTTGATGTAAATTTGTTAAAATTACATTTTGAAGAGAATAGATGGCCATGAAAAATGCATAAATATACCAAATATAATCATTTTTGTTTTATTTCTGCTTTTGATAGTACATCACGAGATGTGTAAAAAATATTCAACTTTGTGGTAACTCAAATTTTGCAAATATTATAGAAAACAAATTTTAACTTAATTTTCATATTTTGGGGGAAATTTGCAGAAAAGTAGCTACCTTACTGCTGATATATCTCAAAAAGTAAGTCGAGAACCCTCTTTTTTCTTTTCATATATGGAATCTACGTAAAACATGCAAGAAAATAAGCCTAATAAGAAAAAAATGACATGGGTTTTTCCAAAAGAATGGACCCACCCCACCTTAAGACAACGATACTTGTTCAACCCAACTGTTTAAGACAACGATACTTGTTCTACCCGACTGTTTAAGACAACGATACTTGTTCTACATGCACTGTTTAAGACAACGATGCTTGTTCTACCTGACTGTTTAAGACAACGATACTCTCCTAGCTACTGTCCCTAGGTTTTGAAGATGTTAAAATAAACCTTAAAACATTTTCTAGGCATTTCTTTAAACATACTGAACAGATTCCTAATTTAAGATTTAGAGAATGATGAAACAAGCAGAGTTTGTTTCCATTGCAATGACACTCAGTCTTTGAAACCAAATGTTTGGGAGAAAGTTCCATTTAACTTAAATTAAATGGAAACAAATTCAATAAATGTGCCAAATATCTGATACAATTTGTATGTTGCAATTCAAAGTCCATCGCATCTTGTCTTGTACATGTATACAGCGTTACACTCAAATCATTCCCATCACAGTTTTATCTTGAACATCTTAATCTCATTTGTATACTTCTATTAGTTTATAAATATTATGTGTACAATGGAATTCTATTTTTGCAGCAGTTTGTCTTTTAATGATGATCGTGACGCTAATATTTCAAATCCACCATTGCCAGAGCAATCTTTAAAACAAGTTCAGGAAGATAATGAAGAAGATGACATCAGCCTGGAGATGTTGATGGCCAGGATCACTCTCTGCTGTCCAATTTCATAAAAGGAACACATCCACCATTATCTGTATCCAAGCCCATGTTGCACTACTGGAGTGACTACCATCATGGCATTGCTTTGCTGCAATGTGCTAGGTGCTCATGATCATCTTCATGCTGTTGGCAGACCCCGGTGACAGAGACCGTTACTGGATGTTTTTGGGACTTAAGTATATATACTTCCAATTTTCAAAGTAGGATGATCAATTACTCAGCTCTTTACATTGATTTGTTCAAAATTTGATGTTCTGCTGTGTTTAACAATACTTGTAGATTACACTTGATTTGTAACAAAGGTGTATTCAAGCTATATCATACTTGCCAACTTTTTGAAATTTTCATGGGGAGATTACGCTTGCTCAGAATTAAAAGCATAAATAAAATGTGTGTATGTACACCATTGGGGGGGAAAAACACACTTTTAAATAGCATCTTTTGAGCTGTTCTTCTAGAGGCATCTTTTGAGCTGTTCTTCTAGATGAACTCATTAGATGTTAGAATATAGCAATAGTTTAGCAAATTCCCTGGTTAAAAGGCTCAATTTTAGGGTCCAAAATCGGGAGTCTCCCTCCTAAATAGGGAGAGTTGGCAAGTATGTTATATGCTGCATATAGAATTCTAAAAACAGAATGCTTAAATATTAAACAATTTCTTAAAGGAAAAAAATATCATGACTCTGATTAATCCATAAACCAGGAAGCTTGATATATTGATGAAAAAAGGAACCTGCATACTACTCTGATAATTATAAGCAAGCACTGGTGAAATATGTGTACCTGCAGACACCTAAATTTATAAATTATATGATTACAGAGGATTTAAAATCAGTTCTAGTTCTTATCGTAATATCACAAATAACAGGATTTTACTTTACTTTGCTTTATTTGTCAATTTCTGTTTTCAAGCACAAGAGTTTTCTAACTGTATAATAATGGGGGTACAGAGTTTTCTAACTGTATAATAATGGGGGTACAGACATTTCACAGATGTTTTGCAATTGTACATTGATTTAGCCTCCCACAGTTTTTATCAAATTTTCAGCACTTGGACTGGGGTTTCAACTTTGTCATTTGTTTGCATTTTGTGTCCCTTGTAGTATTCAGCAATTTTAGTGTGAACAAAAAAAGTACTGAAACATCATATTCTGATTCACCAAAGCTAATGCACAGCAAAACGCCTTCAACGAGTAGTAACAGCTTGCCGGGCACAAATGATTAACCTAAAAACATCCAAAAACGACCCCAAAAACTTCCAACCCTTTGGAAGTAAATTGGTGATCAGTTAACAGTACTAGTGGATTCTGCACATTGATGAGATGTTTTCCTCATTTCGTTTCCTCTGTATTTCACAATGTCTGTCCAACACTGTGTGCTACCTTTACTCATTCAACATAAACTTCTTGTGACTTCTGATTGAACATTACTCAACAGGTGTTGTCCACGTAATATCGACACACATACTTTACAGTGTTGAATAAATGTCTTATCATTCAAACTTTACGTGTCAACTTAATTGAATTATATATCAACTTATCAGAACGGTTAACTCCTTTAGAGACACGAGTCTAAAGTCAATGAGCCTATAATTAGAAATGGGGATATCTTAGCAGTGTCATCGGCCGTGTCCTACAAGTCATCAGTGATGACCACCAACAAAAAAGTGTTGCCGTTAAAGTCAAAGAAATATTTCGAAAATGGAATATCGTTTAGATATAGAATAAAGGAACAGTTACCTGTTGAGCCCCAATGTCGTAGCCCTGCTGCTCAGACGAGACAGGAACAGACGGTCAACAAAGTTTTTAGGCTAATTCTTTCACTCTTCCTGTGCCAATCCGGAAATAAATAACAGGAATTCCCAAGATGCATCTGTTTCAGGCAAATTGTCAAGGGAGGCAACCCTTACTTCCTGGTCGGTTGGATTTTTGTACCGGCAAAATATGATAAAATTCTAGAGCAGACTGTAAGAAGGTCGCATATTAAATCTACTTCATATGTAGATGTTCATGTGTTGTATGTTAAAAATAAAGGAATCCAGTTGTAGCGGGATTTCTAAAGAATATAGCATCTCTCTAGTCTAACGTCTTGATTCCTTTTAAGAAACACGCCCTGAACATCTAAATAATTACTTGTTAAAGTAAAATAAGGGCCCGGTAATGTGTCACAGGCCCGGGGCCCGTATTTTTTTTTTTATTAATTAGTTAAATGAGCTTTCATAGTGATAAAATAATACAGTTTATTATTTCTCTTGTGTTGTCACCAGTTTATTGTCGGTTATTTTTTGTTGGTTGTATTTCAAATAAGAATTGTTTCGCCAAATGAGAAACGCTCTGCCTCATATTTTATCAGTTTCAAGTTATACAAGTTATAATTTAAAATCTTGGTTCAATAATAAAAATCATCTCGATCCACTACCTTAGCCTACTTAGGTGTGCCATTTGTGTCCAGGTAAATAACACTAAATGTTCTTTGAGTAAAGTAGTGTTTTCTAACTTGAATAATTGATATATGGAATAGTCTCCCACACGATGTTATTTCATCTCGTAACGTATTTGACTTTGAGAAAAACTTGGACGAATTCTGGAAAGATCTTGAGTTGAAGTATGATCATGCAGCGCCTTATATATAGTAGACTTATTAGTAGTATAGGGTACACTACTATGAGGTCCTACTTTGAACGGGTAGGGGATTAGCTCCTCCTAGGGTACCTACTTTGGCCGTGGAACCTGCCATGGAACCTATTTTGGCAGTGGAGCTGGGTAGGGATTACGAAAAATGGTGGATATACCCTAGCATTGACGGGGGTATTAAGAATACCCTCGAATTGACCGGAAGATGTACTCAGATAGGATGGCTTAACTTTAGGACAGATGATACAGCTTATTTCTCTGAGACTAATTACCTGACACCAGACAAGTCCCTAGAAATCTTTGAATAAAGATTTGTAAACATTTTGAAATATATATATATATATAGTTGAGAAATCAGAATATAGACCAACACAAACATTCTTTCGTCACATTTAAATTTTGTTTATTGAAAGAAATGAAAACATCAAAAAATTAACATATCTAGACACAAAATCTGACAAAAAGAAAAGTATTCATCGGAATGTCTATGTCGCAATGACGGCATATGTACGTAAAGCATTCCGTATTTTTTTGTATGTTTTATATGTATGTATCCTTCATTATAATCAGAAATTTTAATTAGATATTTTTCTTAAAAAGTGAAATTTACGTATTCAGAACAAATATTGGACAAAATGTGTATAGCGAAATGAATCATAATAAAAGCTTTAAGTATAGCCGGAAACGGATTCTGACCAATATCTTATCCTTCAAGAAGATTTGGTAAGTTACTTAAAAGATATATAAGTAGGGGGAAAGTGATGGGACAACTGCCCCACCGGCGCCACCGGTCCTATCGGCCCCACCGGCGCCACCGGTCCTATCGGCCCCACCGGTCCTATCGGCCCCACCGACCCCACCGGTCCCACCGGCCCCACTCAAAATAGAGGGAAAACATTTCCCGTCACCCCACCCCAAAACCGCGGACAATTATTTCCCGCCACCCCACTCCAAAACCGCGGGAAGTTGTATAAACCCACTCCCGCCAGATCCGAAAAAGTATCTCCGCCCCTTTGGCCCCTCCCAAGACCGCGGGAAGTTGTATAAACCAACTCCCGCAAAATCTAAAAACAAGTACGGGAAGTTGTAAAAGTATACAATGCTACCACACCCAAAACGTACGGGTGTCGATTTAAATGTTTGTGTCATAGGATTAAGTCAGACGAGTAGAATTCACAGAGCAAACCGTACGTGTTGTACCAGCTATTTATTTTATCAACAATATACCAGATCAAAACCCAATTACAGAGACACCACTAAATAAGCTTACAAATTGAAACATTTGACTAAAACACGAGACCGAAAACCATCCCCAATTTTTACCTAAGACGAAAAAATAATAAACCTAGCACAAGTACACCGACCATCAAATACAATAAAAATTATCAATCGTACTATTAGATCAAAACCCAAAACAAACGACAACGTTTCAGGTGGCGATTTAAATGTCCAGGTAAGAGGATTATTAAATGTCCGAGTTTATTTCTCTGGAACCCGTGAGGTCACCGGTTGCTCTCCCTGCCGTTTTGAAAACCGCGCCAAATAAAAAAGCGTGCTAAACATTTCCCGAACTATTTCTAGACCCTAGTCAGAAATCAGAGGACTATTAGATGTCGCTAGTCATGGTCCCAACTCCAGGGTCGTATGCGAATTCAGTCGCTCATGAATCACTCTCCCATACTTACACACAAACCTACCCGTAAGAAACAATCATTTCAAAGTAACCACCTAAAAACAACATCATTCTCCCATACTTACAAACCTATCTGTAAAAAACAATCATTTTAAAGAAACCACATACAAATACACACAATCTCCCATACTTACACACAAACCTATCCGTAAGAAACAATCATACTAAATTAGACTAAAAAGATCATTCTCCCATACTTACACATACGATCTCCACATGCATGGTATAAATTATAAAAATGAACACTATGTGTTTAATCTCAAAGTAAACAAAAATATTTTAAACAAACTAACAAAACTGTATTAGAATACTAAAAATACCAAATCGGTCAAATCAAGTAACTCACTCGCAGAAACTTTTAGTCTATCTCATAAGGGACGGGCGGTCTGCGCACCCTCCTGGAGTGACGTCGTGGAGCACAATAATGATAGGCTAATCAAATTACGTAAAAAAAATAGCCAAACCTAAAACTAACTGCAACAAATTAGTTTTATGTATTTTGGGCAATATTGGGGTGTCCTTTATGTCCCCCAAAAAATCGGACACTGGGAAAATTCGGGAAACTTTTTTGTGGGGGGTCAAAGGTCATTACGGTCTTTCCACTTGTTTGGTTTGCGTAATTTTGAGATTGTGGACAAAACAAGTGACCGATTTTCAAAATTCTTACATCATTTTGTTACACCTGCCGAGACGTAACAGAATATTGCAAAACATTTGTAATGCAATAAATAACAAAAATATTTTTCTCTTTAAGACAATTAAAAAACACGCCCAAATGTCATTTTCCCGCCACGTTATTATTAATGACGGCGTGCGTCGATTTTTGCTAGTCTTAAATAAATAATGTTTTTAAATGTAAATTATATTAGACATCTTTATGCTTTTCTGTTACAACTCCGCAAATGCTACAAAGTGTGTTGGATTTTTTTTAATAAGTTAAATATTTCATCTACAATCTTGTAACCACATCACATTGTTGTGGGATAATTAAAGCAAAAACGGCAAAAAGAATAGTACCACAATATATGTATCATTGTTTAATAACTGCTAAACACTCAGTGCATTTAGGTATAATCTTACTGGTATACCAAACAAATTACCAATATTGCATTGTTTAGTCAAATAGGATAGAAAAATACACATTTCTAAACGGACTTATGCTTATATGGTTTAAATACTAATATGCAATAATAAAAATGTCACTTCTATCGTCCTTTTTCATTATAAAACTAGGTAATCGATGCAAATCTCACGATGGTTATTTGAAAGAACACAATAATATCAAATATTGTCACACTGCAAAGAGAAATTGGTCAAGCTGCCATATGAGCGCGTGACATTCAGCCACTTAAACATTTCTACGCTATGGCCATGGATGATACAATGTTGGCAAAAGCGATACCTATACATGGCTTTGCAACGGTATGACATATTCGTTATACAGGCATTTGGCAGGGCACACAGTCCCATGTTCCCTGCCAGAGTCCATTGTACTCTGAACCAAACATAAGAGCCTGCAGGGAGCATCAGACTATGTACCCTGCCAAAGACCTGTATAACTAATAATAATTTAATCGTCGAATTAACAAATATAATTTCTAAGAAACGTCAAAGAAGTACCGGGACTAGAATGTTTGTTCTCAATAATATGCTAAATTCCAACAACAGGTATGAATGATGTATGCTATTAAAAAGCACCACTAAGTATCATTTAACAATTCAAGATTGATTAGTATTTATGAATACACATGAAGCTGAAAGATTGTTTCTGCTAACCTCGAACAGAATGTGATATGGACGAGTAAACTCAATAAATACTATTTAAATTCGTCCATGCAAATTATGATAAGAAGCTAAAACACTTGATAATTCGTATGCCAATCGCGTTACGTCCATGAACTAAAATATGTATTGATACTCAGTACTTTCAACACTATCCACTTTAGTTCAATAGAAGTCGCAAAGTTACGTAATTAGTCAAGGACGTCACAGTTACGTGAATTGGAGCAACTGTTCCCCTTACAGTCACCGCACACTACGGAGCATTCTAAGCCATGTTTCCGGCACGTGCACCTTCGGATATCGCAATTTGTATTGCACTTGCAACGGATAATAACCATGAGTCTTTCAGGAGCCGGAGCTTTATTAGTTGTAATAGGCATAAGTCTAAAATTTGAAAGAATCCAACCCCATGCGCATGCGTCAAGTTTCTCAAAATCATCCGCTGCCGTCCATGCTTGAATTTGGAGGTAGGTTCGCATGCTATGAAACGCGGCAGCAGCTGATGTTGGAGGCAAAGTGTGAATTTGAAGAAACGTTTTGTTGGTTAATACGCGACTTGTGAACTTTCTGTATCTTAATGTGTCAAGTCCTTCGAGTTCAGTGCCACCATACAAAGTTGAAATGATATGTTCTCCCGCCGTTGTTACATCTTCAGTCGTGCTGTTTTTGCTAAGGAAGACCATTGCCACCGATACGAGGTGCTCACTACCTGATATTCTTTTCATTGCCACTCCTTTCCCTAATCCAA